GCCGATTAAATATATCTTCAGCGGGCCCGGCTTATATGCGCTGATCGGTATGTATAGTATATATACGCGCCAAGCGAGCGCCTGCATGGCAAGCAGCCTCGTGCAAAAAGCCCTCGAAGCAGTGCGTGTGCGTATTTTATAGAGAGAGAGAGAGAGAGAGAAAAGAGAACTGCGAAGACGCACACGCGCACTTAAAATTCTAAAATCTCGCGGTCGCGCCGATATATCGAGAGAACGAGTTACGGACGAGCAGCGACGATCTCTGTGCTGCTGCCCGTACATATACCTACACACACACACATCGATGCGTAATGACTACAATCATCTCACTCGCGCGTTCTCTTTTTATTTATTTTTTTTTCATTTTGAAAATGCCCCGATACGCGTGTACACAATGCTATCTCGTCGAATCTCTAAATTGGGCACGTCGGCGTTTTCAAAACACGGAATGATTGCTACGCTCCATCTGCCCAAGCGCACACATATACAGATTTACGCACGGGTGTGTGTGGGTAATGCTGCCGTGTGTCTATATTCCGTATATCGACATTATATTGATACGCAAAACTGCAGCTACATACCTATATATAACACGAGATCGGTGGCGGCAGTGGCGGCAGAAGTGTACGATGTATCTCACCCTATACATTGTATGTGTATCACACGTGGATCGCTGCAGTGCTGCAAGAAGGAACGATTCAGGATATGTAATAATAGAAATTCCGTCGAATATACGTATAAATGTATAACCGTGAAATTTTTCGTATGAAATTTGCACCGGCCAGTCTCTCGACCCTCTCTATGCTCGTTATCCGCTCATGGTCGATGCCTTTTTTTGGCCCTCTGAAATGACAGTAAATTATACTGGCATTGTGCGATACTAGTCCGAATGTAGTTGATCTATACATGGAAAAAAGCTTTCCGCTTGATACCCTTTTTACCCGTCGTGTACGATTAGTCTAGCTTTTTCGTTCATTTAGGAATTTTTATGATACGCTGCATGTATTGTAGCTGCACTAGACGCGATAAGAAGCATCATTTTACACTTGAAATAGCTGTCGCTTTGCGCTGAGGGTAGATTTTTACTCTCTCGCAATAGTCCTTTCGTATTAAAGTATATACTGCGCAAGAGCTTCTGTACACGTGTTTTTTTGCACGCGAACAAGCGAGGTCCTCGCCATAATGGGACGTGTTCAATAAAATTATTATGCCATGCAAATCCTCTCTGACGTAATGGGTTGTAGTTGTGACGCGTGCGCATTTGTGTGCTCCTTTATGTTTTCGTTTGCGCAAAAGGTTGACTCATAGTGGTCGTTGCGTCGCAATTTTTTCGGCGCAATTCTCGATGGATATTCGCATTGATATTTTTTTTTACGTGAGTACCGAGTATATGTATCGGCACAGCTGCGATCGTTTGCAAAGACTGAAAGAGACTAATCACTTCCTGCGACGATGTCCAATATAATAAAAGCGCGAGTGTCATTTTTCGAAGGATACGAGTAGAAATAAAATAGAAAGGTAGGTGGATCCGCAGGAAATATCGAGTACACGCTCGATCGATAAAGCAAATCTGCTCCTACGCTTTTGACACATGTACGTAGCTGAAAATTTCTCATCAAATGGTCGATAAAATCTCCGAGGCGAGCTTACAACACAAACACGTACACATGTATTGCGATTATATCCGAGCAATTTGGCTGTACGAAAAACCCTTTGATGATGGCTCGAAGAACAACCGAAAGAACGAAATACGGCACGAGAGAGGGCCAATGATTGGGCGTATACGCACTGCGCGATCAACAATTGATTGGAGAATACGATACGCGGACAAAACTTTTTCAATAGCAGCGATCCGCATGTAGAATCAAGAGCAGCGAGTGTGCAGAGAGGACGAAATAAGCTTCTCATAAGCTTCTCCAGGCGCGGTCCGCGCACGGGCGTAATCAATACCCCCTGAGAGATCGACAACGAAAGAAATCCACGTTACTTGTGAGAAAAGAAGGAGCCTCGGTAGCTGCTCTCTTCTTCTCTCATATATACACGGTGTAAGCGCGCGAAGCGCAAAGTACAAAAAAAGCCGAAAAAACTCGGACGCGTGCAACTGGCAGAAGAGCATGTACACGAGGGTGCGTGTGCGTGTGCGTGTGCGTGTGTGTGTTTTCGTTGACAATCCAGCAGCGGTGTACTCTTGCGGTTACGCGCTGCTATTTCCGGGCTAATGATGCTGCCCCGCGCGAGTACGTCCCATTTATGCCCTCGACACGTCTTCGCATTTCTATATATATCGGAGCAAAAGAGCGATCGGTTCTCTTTTTTTTCTCTCCTCGCCATCGCACATAGGTATATAAAGAGGGTACCACCACGCCTACACTGTCCCATCTATGCACATACGTACGTACGGATATATATTGTATTGCCTCGCGCTTCCTGCGGGTTAAATAGGCGCTACAGGCACGTATAGAGAGTATGTATCGCACACGCGCCCGCGAAAAAAAGAGTGGGCGTGATTCGTCGACGATATATACAATTCTTCTCGATGCTCTGTATAGCCGAATCTTTGGACGCATTTAATATAAAGAGACTAATAGAGCCCTGTATGTGTGTGTGTAGGAGGAGTAGGCGGAGGAGGAGATTTGAGGATCAATTATACTGTCGCGAGGTGCGAGCTACGATCGAGGAGCAGCAGCAGCTCCAAATGGCCCATCTGTGTGTACGACGAGGTTCCGCGAGCGGTCGATACATCGCGCGCTCATAATACAAACCGCAACAAACGAGTACAATGAGGGCTGCTCCGATTTTTCTCTATTTTAACGCACTAAGCAGCAGCAGCCCCTTTCGCCCACATCTATCATATAGGCGCGCGACCACTCTCGTTTTCCTTTCTTTTCTCTTCCTCCTCCTCGTGCTTCTTCTTCTTCTTCTTCCGCCGAGCTTTTCTTCTACTTTCGAAAGGGAAAAAGAATGGTATTTTTCGGACGTTGCTGTTGTTGTCGTCACCGCTGTTGCCGCGTGCTTCCGAGTAGTAGTGACTGCGAGCGCATTTCTTTTCGACGTTATACATACGTCTTTTTGTGTCTACTTCGTCGCACGCGCGCACCTTCAAGATTTATTTTTACGATAATAAGTCTTAAACGAATTGACTTTTTTTGTATACGCGACATCTTCGACACGTTTAATAGGCTCATTTCTCGATTATTGTTCGCTTAAAATGAGGTCTTTATACCTCCAGCTAACAATATTTTCTGCGAAATATTCTTGAATGAATCATGTACGAAATGCGCGCATATGCTCTTTTGGATAGTTCAACTTTATTTGACAATAGGAGCCTGAAATTAAGATGTATTTTCATGTCTTAAAGGGCGAGGAGTTGCACAATGACCGGAACAAATGGCTAAAAATTTTCCTTTCGTCACCTTTAATTTCAGTTATATGTTCGTGTAAATTTGGCTGTTTATTGCCTTGATGGTTGAGGCTTATTGTGGCAAAAATCAAACTACAATTACACTATGACTCCCTTGTTTGATTAACGATTTATTAACAAGCTGTTAGTTGTTCATTTTTCTATTGATATTTTAGTCATGTGTAACGTATAGATCGCTCGTTTCCTTAATTATTTCAATGCAGTTAAAAAAAAAAACATTCACAAAACGACGGGATAATTATTTTTCCGCGAATAAGTCATGTATACGTACGCTACATATATAATTGGATACACCTACTTTGTGCAATTCACGAAGACTCATTTGCGAGACGGTAAAAATCGGCTCATTTCACATGGTCGCATGGCATATTTCTCGGAACATTTGTTCGTGCGCCCATGCAGTAGTCTCTGCGTAGTAGCAGCAGCAGAAGACATTAAACGTCAAGCTCGTTATGTTTCTTCCGTAGCGTCGTTAGGATAAAAACGACGACAGGCAAGGGGCAGAAGTAAAAAATAAACAAAATAAAATCACGCGCAGTGAGAGAGAGAAAGTACTGCGGTGTCCTTGTCACTTCACAAATTTGTGTGCTGAGGAAGATCATTTCCTTTTTTATTTTATTTTGTTTATTTTTTCAAGTTGTCTCTTTGCTCGTTACATGTTTTGTCGAGCCTCGTACAAGACGTTGACACTGAATAGCGTGAGCGGCTTCTCTGTACGACTTAATCGAGTTGCGAATCATTCATTGAGATTTAAATTTATTATTAATTGCCGTTATTTTATAATTCCTGGTGAATATTACCATCGCAGTGTATGATTGAATAATATGAATAATCGAATCGATAGCAGAACCATAACATTAGAAAGCTAAAGCAGTAATGTCACTACTATAATAAGATCTTCAAATACAAGAACGTAAAAATCTAAATACAAACCTGCGAAAAAAAGTTTGTTATTTTGAGACTCTCACTTTTGAACGCCGACGAATGCCAATCTCGGCAATCAGACAAACATTCAATATTTAATGCGAAAGATGCGTTCGATAAATTGGCATACCGGTTTTATGACGAATGTTTTTCACACGCTGCTAAAAATCTTATTGTGTCTCCGTCAAAGGATCCCAAAAATGAACCTGCCGAATCCAGGAAAAAGCGCGACATATCCGCGTCGTCGTCGATCAAACGTGTTATTAAGAGACAGAGACGTGGAGTAGTTTGAATTGCGAAGACGACGCACAAATCGACCTTCTCTCGTTGATTTCTCGTATTTGTACTAGTACGAATACGCACGAGACACAAAAATGTGTATGCCTGCGGTAGGAGTTCAAGTTTAGAGATATATATGCATTGCGTCATCGAAGAAACACTTTGGCGTAATGGGAATAACCTTGGACTACGCAAGCAAATCAGCACACATTTACCGGATCCCACATAAGACGACGTGCGTAAGGATCGTTTCTACACGAGTGCAAATTTATTCGTGTTTGTTCCAACGAGATGAGCCATTCGCTCGCGGACCATAGTGATTTAACAAAAAAGAATCCAGTCTATATAAGTGAACGTTCTTGAACAGGTAAAATCAGTCGTCGTTTGAATCTCGATCGGTGCGTGAGTGAAATTTTTCGTACAATGTCTAAAATCGCGTGTATTTTGGCACTCACGGTGCTTCTAGTCGCTACCACACAAGGTAAATATTTTTTTTTTATTTTAAACATTTTTGCTTCACATCCGACGCCCCGAAGCGCTAAATTATTATTGTTTATGTGATTCGTGATGCAGCCTTGCCTCAATTTTACGACGGATATGGTCCTTATGGCGGATACGGTGGTTACGGAGGATATGGCGGATACGGTGGTTATGGAGGATACGGAGGATACCCCGGTTACGGTGGATACGGCGGATACGGAGGCGGTTATAATGATTACTATGGGCATTATCCTCACTATCATAGTCACTACGACCACGGTGGACTCCTCCACAAACTCCATCATGCCTATCACGATATAACCGATACTCACGATGGTCATTTTAAATAAACAGTTTATCGTTGACCGAAGGTCTGCAGTCAGATGGAGAAAAAGTTTATTTGGTGCTAATAAGTTTAATATAAGTTATAGTGTATAACATGACTGAATGTAATATATTTTTTCACTAGTATTACATGAGCTCGTTTTTTGATTTAGAATTACCTCATTTTCCGTATTTTTACCAATAATAATTAGCTTCATATCTTTATGAATAAATATTCATAACAGTTCGTAACAAATTTTTCAATGATTTCTGATGCACGTATAAGTATTTTGTGGTCTGATGTTTTTCTCGATTCAGCAAACTAGTTCTCGATTCATTTTTTTCTCTGATATAACAAAAATATATAAATAATTTGAAAACTCATGATATCGAAGGGTGATTTAGGAGAACGCGAAAACAAACCTGCAAGACTGTGTAAACCGCAATCGCTTGCATGTAGAGGCGAAAAACAAATGTACACATGCGCAAATGCGATTCCTCATGCAAACCACGCGGCGAGTGTGTACATACAGCGTCATGTATATTATTATATTCACGAGGTGGTAAAAGAGCTGTACGCGTCGATGAAAGACGCGCGGAGCTAAAAGTCAAGCCGATTTCGAGCACACGTCTCTCTTTTACACTTCTCTCAGGTACTTATCGAAAGGTAGAGATCTCTCGTCTCGTCTCTCTCTCTCTCTCTCTTTCTCTCTCTACACCTTTACGTTTGTGAGTATTATTACTCATATAGAGACAATACTTCGACAAGGATTGTGTGTGTGTGTGTGTGTGTGTGTGTGTGTGTGTGTGTAGAAGCCTCGCTGTATAGTGGGTATTACGAGAGACAGGCGAGGAAATTGTGAGCGCGAGCACGCGTGAACTGTGGCTGCTGCTGACGTTGGGGCTATTGCAATAGTGTAAATCACGAGCAACATAAACGGCTCGACGGAGATAATATTTTCTTAACACCTCGTGAAAAGGAGCTTCGCGTTGCCTTAGGTTCAATAATTCTTTGAGTATACAGATACAAGGCTTTCCAATATTCGTGCATAGTACGTGTATGTGTGTGTATAAATAAGCCACTGACAGGTTGAGGCGGTAAATTTTTACTCCGTGATTGCTGCTCCTTTCGACTCTCGTTATGAGCACTATGATCGACCAGGAGATGTATATAAGAGCATAAATCGATGTACGTATCTCTATTTTGTATATTGCCTGCATCTATGCGCGCATTTAGTCATTCGTTTTTACCTTTTCGATATGAACAAAATGAGCTTTTCGAGCGGATCATTGGTTTAATGACTGCGCATCAATGCTGTGTTCTCATGAATCAAAACCACATATACTCACACACACGCGCAAACGAGCATAATTACGCTGCACCTCTAATGAACATGAAAATGTGAAAATAATTGGCGTACCAAAAAATTCTCTTCTATAGAGCGCGTATACATCTCGCGTAAAAACCTAACGACTGCGAGGCTCATTTTTGATCGTCCGAAAAGAGCCGCTGGCTGCAGAAGTATTATATACACATATATATATACACAGGCGGCGGCGTCGGCAACCGTTGCAAACATCATCGCGGCACGTAATTGACTGTACACCGCATGGCGCCAGCTCGCTGCAGTGCAGATCGTCCTCGTGAGCGCACGAACTTTTACCTAGATGTATCGTCTGCGAGCGTAGGCGTAATCAGTCATGCATAATCGAGCGAAAAAGATTTACTTTTCCGAACGCCTGCGTACGAACGTTGTACACATCCAAGGTCGATAGATGAAGAGGAAAGAAAAAACAACAACAGCAAACAAACAAGAGGCTGCTCTAGGCTGCGCATGATTACAGTGCCGCGTGCATCGCGGCGCGCGCTACAATGTGCATGTATATAGTATGTATATGTACTTATAATGGCTGCTGGATTATCCGATGCATTACCCTGAATCTCGCGCATGGGATATTAGTCCCATGGTGCAGGTAAAAGGTATAGAAATTGCGAGGCGCCTTACTTGCCTTCCAGCAACCTTTACGTGAATGGATAGATATTACCGTGCTGGTATTCATAGTTTTCCAACTAAAGAAAAGTTTAATGCTTTCTTGATAAACCAGTTTAAAATATCCACTCGACGTTGCATCGTTAAGAAAATTGATTTTTGAAATTCTTCGATTTGTTTGAGTGCATTAGTAAGAAGTTGAGCTGAGAATCTTGCGTGTTTTTTTGCTAATTTTACTATTTTTCTAACAATATATTTTTTTTATTGAAACTATGAAAAACAATTGACATTGAAATCATTATATAATCAACTTTTCATCTCATTATCGAAAATAGATGAAACTCATTTAATAGCACATTACTGGGAAATTAATCGATGATTTGAATATTTATTGCTCTTTGACTGAGTAATTGTTATAATTGATATTTCTCTCCCCAAAAGAGCAATCAAGTGACCCCTTTCATTGCTCGGTCATCAAGGGACGGATATTATTTATAGTAGAACAGCAGACGGAAATTTAGGACGATTGATTCTGTGATTGGATTCAGTTTTTTTAAATTTTTTATATATTCATTCAATTATTTTCGAAGAAGTAATTGTTAACGTAACTGCATTAAACCATATTTCATCAAATTTCTCTTGTGAGAATATCAAGCTTTTGCAAAAAAAGTATCTACAAATATAAAAGATAATGATCCACGTTGTCGGCTTTCTTTTCTTGTTTTAATTTTTTTTCTTTGTTTCAAACCTGCTATATGCATCATGGATAGTTTAAGTCTGTAATGGCTTTTAATTACTTCATATTGGGGTTGCTGCCTACCGCACTGGCGCCATCATTTTATTATCGACCGCTGTTTTTTTACCATATACACACTCATTTATGTACATCATTTCAAAAGTACATTAGCAAGAGTCGAGCATTTTTTACGGCTCTTAATGATATTGTTTTGAAAATAAAATTTAAGATTTTGCTTTCAAATTAATAAATTTTTGCATTCGTTTGATTTTTTTTTGTTCGCACGACAAATCATTTACTACTTTAGGTTTTAGAAAGTACCCGGCTATACAAAAGAGTTCTAACGACGCGCTTAAACAGAACTGTATTAGCAGCAGCGATGAATATTAATTACCAGTTTGACTAGAGCTGGTAGTGGAAAGTTTGCGTATAAGAATACATACTAGTTCGTGTGAGAAAAATTTATCCATTAAAATAATGTAAAAAGCTCATAATATTGTTATTTTACAAAAAGTTATTACGCAAGTTATAAATTGTTAATTTATTAAAAGGCATAATCAAAGCAAAAGATGAAATACAATTTTTGGCGCTTCATAATTCACACCAAGAAATAAAAGTCCTTATAGAGTCTCACCTCACCACTAGTTGACACTATGCAGTAGATCCTTAGCATCATGTAAGCCTATTAAACATTCTGAGCATTTCATTTAAGGTTTTTACAAGAGAAATAAAAAGACAGAGAGAGAGAGAGAGAGAAAAAGGTGCGAGGCAAGAAGTGACTAATGCGTCTGCGAGAGATGAAGCTGCTGCTGCCGATGCCGCCGCCGCCTCAGTCGTTGTGCGTTATACTCTACCTGTATGGCACAGTCGAAGTCGCCGCGAGTTCAAAAGGACCCGTTGGCGCCGCTACCCCTCGTAACATCGCTATACTTATCCACGCTCGCGCCGAGTGGATGTAAAAAATTGACCATTGGCTACTCTCCGCATACACACAAGCACACGTGCTTCACTTACATGACTGATTGCTCGCACGGATAGTAATAATTTTCAAAGATATTGGAGAGATAGATTTGCGAAAGACTGAAGAGAGCTAGTAGTACGTTTTGTACGCGTGTGTGTTACAAACGTGCCATTCATCAACTTGGAAATTAATTCGTGCATTGATTGTGTGACTCGATATAAATTAAGACGTCTCTTGTGTTCAGCATAACATATACATATTCAACGTGTCCTTAAAAAAAATTATGACAGGCGTATACATTTTATTCCCGGCTATATATGCGGTAAAAATCTTCACACCCTTGACAGGAGATGATTATCATCACAAATCGAATAATTCACACGTAATAGCAACGTAAAATTGATGGCTCTCAACATCTTCATCGGGTACTCAAAAAATAGTAAATTACAAAACGACATCAGTGAGTGTAAAATTATTCTTTAATTATTGAGATCGTAATCTATGACATGTATGCTTTCAGATTAGCCGGTGTTTTGACACTGTTTAATTGTAAACATAAATACTAAACAACCTATTTGGATTGTGTTTATGAGTTCGTATGGAGAAATAACTCTGAAATGTCCGAGAGATGACGCTAGTTCACTGAATTACGAAAACTCGAGCATGAGGCCGCGGTGGCTGTGGGGCTTGAGCTCTTGCTTCTCAACCGAGAAGTCGGGGGTTCAAATCCCGGCGGTGGGCTGGTTTTTTCCCGAGGNAGAGGTGAATCACCTCTTATACTTCTGCCACTCGGCCGATCGTGTGTAAGTGTGCGAATTTCAAAATAAATAATGTTATAAGCGCGCTATCACCGATGACGACCCGAGATCTCGTCGTAAAACGACTTTTTTTCTCTCTCCTCTCGCTATTTTTTCGTCTCGAGGCAGGTTGATTATTACAGGCGCGATCGCGGTATGGTAAAAAACAAAAAAAAAAAAAAAAAAAAAAACTCGAGCATACACACGTAAAGCGAATTTCAACACAAATCCAAACATCATTGCTAGATACATTTAAAATTTAATTTTAAAAAAGATACATCATCGTCATTGAAATTATGTAGTAAAATCTTTAATCTGTTTTCTTCGGTATATGCGTGCACAAGATGTGCAGTCTCATTACTCAAGTTTGTATATAAATCAGAAAAATTACTCCTCTTTCTTGGTACTCGTTATAAGTAAGTTAGTCCCCTGCAAAATAGCTACGATTAATGCTTAGTACAAAGTGCAGAATGTGAACTTGTAATTATATTTTTTAAAACAATACGAGCCATGATACACACGCTATGCATAATGCAAACGTTTTTATAAATGCCTGCAGGGTTGATAATTGCTGCGCTACCAT